AAAAAGATCAGTGTTTGTATCCTAGTGTTGAGGGAGAAGGGGGATGAATAGGTAGAGCATAGTGGAATTTTAGGGCATTTATACTATAATGATGCATACATGTCATTTATATATTTGTTCAACCCCACAGAATGTACAATACCAAGAGTGAACCCTAATGTAAACCTTGGACTTTGGGTGATGATACTGTGTTAATGTAGGTTCATCAATTGTAACAAATGTTCCACTCTGTGGGGGATGTAGATAATGGGGAGGCTAAGCATGTGTGGGGCAGGGAGTATATGGGAAATCTCTGTACCTTCCACTCAATTTTGCTATAAACTTAAAATTGCTTTAAAAAATAAAGTGTATTTTTAAGAAATCAAATGAGTTTGCTAACTATAAAATGAATGTAAAATAAACTAAAATCAAGCAGGAATAATCAACCAGAAAACATAATAGCTTAAAAGATATTATTCATAAAACTAACAAAATAATGTATTTATTCTTCTTATGGACATCTAATAGAAATCTCTAAACCTACATGTTCAAAACTGAGCACTTGATTTTTACCTTCCAACCTGCTCCTCCTATGGTCTTCCTTACATCAGCAAATGAGAACACCCAAAACACCATCCTTCTAGCCTCAGTCAAAAACTTTGGATTCATCCACGATTACTCTCTTTCTTACCTCACATTCAGTGAGTCAGCAAAATCTGCTGGCTCTGTTTTCAAAATATACTTATTACTGTAATAGGGAAGAACAAATCTGACTCCATATTGGATCTGTTTCTTTTACTTTAACCTTTGTATTCTATTGCTTTTGCTGCAAGTTAAGAATGTTGCCTACAGCCTGAAATAAACAGGATAGCCCATTTTCAAGGCTCTGATCTTTAAAGGTATAACACTTTTTCCATTCACATAGAGATAAAAAGTTGCAGAACAGAGAATAACATTTGTCTTGTTGGAGGTTTACAGGAACATCATGACCTGACCTATGTGGACAGCGGTAAGAACAAAGGATTCCGACATCAAGAAGTTTGCAACAACCAACCACATTACCTCCCTTTTTAATATAAAAGAAGCCTGAATCCTAACTTGGGCAAGATGGTTCTTTGGGACATTAGTCCACCATCTTCTTGGTCAGCTGGCTTTCTGCATAAAGTCACTATCCCTTGTTCCAACAACTTGTCTCTCGATTTATTGGCCTGTTGTATGGGAGCAGTATGAGCTTGGACTCAGTAACACTACTTCTCATCACCTCTACTGCTACCCCTTGGTTCTAAGCCATCATAGCTTTGTCCTTGGTCTCCTGTTTTACTTCTGTCCCTCCTATTGTCTATTTTATGTATAGTAGCCAAAGTAATCCTTTTACATGTAAGTCTGATCCTGTCACCACTCTGCTTAAAATCTTCTAGTGGCTTCTCATCTCATTTGGTATAAAGCCAAAGTATTAAGGTTACACAAGATCTGAACCACTGATTTCTGTAAATTTATGGCTTCTACACTCCTCTTCACTCATTCCATTCTATATATAGTATCCTTACTGTTCCCCTTCCAAAGCATGTTACTACCTTGCCCTTGCAAGATGGAATATTTTTTTCTCAAGAAATGTATATAACTCACTCTCTCACTTCCTTTAGGTTCTCTTCTCAAATGCTTCCTTATCAGCTAGATTTTCTTTGCGTCCCCCACATAAAATAGCAACTCTTCTCTAATGCTCTCCAGAATCATCCTCCTTGGCATTCTCTATTGCCTTTCTTCTTCATCTTCTTTTAAAAACTGAAATACAGCTGGCATACAATATTATATTGGATTTATGTGTACTAGACAGTGATTTGACATTTGCAGACATTATGAAATGATCACCACCATAAGTCTACTAACCATCTATCCCTATACAAAGTGATAACAATATTATTGACCATATTACTTATGCTGTGTATTACATCCCATGGCTTATTTTATAACTGGAGGTCTGTGTCTTTTAATCTTCTTCACCTATTTCACACACACCCCTCTGCCATCTCCTTCTCCTCAGGCAACCACCTGTTTGTTCTCTGTATTTATGAGTCTGGTTTCATTTTGTTTTGTTATTTGTTTGTTTTGTCTTTTAGATTCAACATACAAGTGAGGTCATGTGATATCTGTCTTTCTCTGTCTGACTTATTTCACTTACCAAAATAACCTCAAGCTTCATCCATGTTGCTGCAAATGGCAAGATTTCATTCTTTTTTATGGCTGAATAGTACTCTATGTGTGTGTTTAAGTATATACCACATTGTCTTTATCAATTTATCTATTGATGGGACACTTAGGTTGCTTCCATATCTTAGCTATTGTAAATACTGCTGTTATGAACAATGGTGTGTAGATATCTTTTCAAATTAATTTTGTTTTCTTTGGGTAAATATCCAGAAGTGAAACTGCTAGATCATATGGCAATTATATTTTTAATTTTTTGAGGAACCTTTATATGGCTTTACATAGTGGCTGAACCAATTTACAATCCCACCAACAGTGCATGCAGGTCCCCTTTTCTCCACGTCTGTTGTCTTTCTGATGACAGCAATTCTAACAGGTGTGAGTGGGTATTGAATTGTGGTTTTAATTTGCATTTCCCTGATGATTAGTCATGTTGATCATGTATCTGTTGGCCATCTGTATGTCTTATTTGGAAAAATGTCTATTCAGGTCCCCTGCCCATTTCTTAATTGGGTTGTTTGTTCTTTTGATGTTGAATTGTATGAGTTCTTTGTATATTTTGGATATTAACCTCTTACTGAATATATGGTTTGCAAATATCTTCTCCCATTCATTAGGTTGTCTTTTCGTCCTGTTGATAGTTTTCTTTGCTGTACAAAAGCTTCTAAGTTTGATGTAGTCCCATTTGTTTATCCTTATTCTTCTTTACTTTCCTCCATGGCACCTAAATGCCACTAAATGTCCAACAATACATGAATGGATAAAAAAAGTGTGGTGTATATGTATACAACAGAATATTACTCAGCCATTAAGAAAAAAAGAAATCTTGCCATTTGTGACAACATGGTTGATCCAGAGAATATTATGCTAAGTGAAATAAGTAGGACAGAGAAAGACAAGTACCACATGATCTCACTTATATGTGGAATCTAAAAAACATACTAATTATTTACCTTTTTTGCTTATTGTCTGTATATCCTCCACTAAATGCAAATTCTATGAGGACAGGTACTCTTTTTAGCCCCAGTAACTAGAATGGTATCTGTTTTATCGTATGTATTCAGACATATTGTTGAAAAATAATGCATCGGTTTTTATACTATTCATTATATTTTTCTTTATGGTTGAAATATATCATAAAAAATGAAATAAATTCTAAAGAAAAGTGAACTAAAACTTGAATATTCTTCAGATAGCAACATTTCATGTAAATAGTGTAGTATATTCTTCTCTTCCATTCTTAGTATTGTTGTTGATGGGGATAATATATCTGACTTATGAGTACACAGAAAAGTTAGTTTTTTAATTTTTATTTATTTATTTATTTATTTATTTATTATACAGCAGGTTCTTATTAGTTATCTATTTTATACTTATGAAAAGTTAGTTTTATATCACAAAGTTTTAGCAAATTGCCCAGAACTCTGAGACTTACCATAATTAGGAATATATAAAGTGACCTGGGGTTTAGTGACATTTAAACAAAAATTTAGTGACATTTTAAACAAAAATCTCATTTCAGACGAGGGTGTAAGGGAAAAGATTTAAAACCACTTAAATTTAAAATGAACAGTGACTTTTCCTAGTAAAATTTTACTTTATCACAAAATGAAAGTCTCACATTACTTGAGTTGTCAATATTGCTTTTTTGAGCTTTTAAAATCAACTATCTCTCAATCTTTTTGTTTCACTCAGGAGTTAAAATGTAGTGCACAAATAGCATAGAATATGAGTGACATCAGTGAGAATGGCAGAGTAGGGATCTCAGAAAAGCTGCTCCTCCAAAATATAATGAGAATACCAGCAAAGATTATCAAAATGAACTTTTTAGAATTCTGAAAATTAAACAAAGGTCTGCAGCAATCTATGGAGTACAGTCAAAAGAAATACCTCTATTTCAGTAAGAATGTGAGTTCTGTGGTGCTTTAGTTTGCCCTACTCTCATTTCCTTCTCCTCAGCTCCACCTCAGAAACCAACAGTCTCACAAACCAGAAGTCTAGCAACCACTGGACAGGACAGAGTGGTTTTAGAGCTCCCAAAAAGTATCATTTCAGGGAATTATGATTATTTGACATGTCTTCCAGTTCCCTAGAAACCTCTCCTCACAGTGTTTGCCTTTATTTGACCTGACTCAGAACCCTCTCTGTTCAAAGAGACTTGTCTCTGGAGGTTATCTGTCAAAAAGAGTCAGCAGCAATTGTTTAATATTGTAGCTGTCTGAGGTGGCCTTAACAGTTGGAGCAAAGAAGAAGCTGGCAATAAAAATTAAAAACTAAAATTAAAAGCTGGGAAACGCAATGTCCATAGGGGGATTTGAAAGTGCTAACAGGATCCTGGGAATCTAGAACTCTGTCCATGCGAACATAGGATGTTTGGATGCATAGGAAAGACCTGAGAAGGCCTTAAGCTCTCACCTTTGGTTGACCTCAAGACCTGAAATAATTGTATGAATACAATGACATATTAGAAGATAGCTATGTTAAAAAGACATAAGTGGGGCTTCCCTGGTGGCGCAGTGGTTGAGAGTCCGCCTGCCGATGCAGGGGACGCGGGTTCGTGCCCCGGTCCGGGAGGATCCCGCATGCCACGGAGCGGCTAGGCCCGTGAGCCACGGCCACTGAGTCTGCGCGTCCGGAGCCTGTGCTCCGCAACGGGAGAGGCCACAGCAGTGAGAGGCCCGCATACCGTAAAAAAAAAAAAAAAAAAAAAAAAAGACATAAGTGATAATAGTATATGAACAATACTGATACTTAAGTATACTAATATAACATCCATCTTCTTTTAGAGTTTATGAATTAAATCAGCAATTACGTACCAGATCTGTTTTTGGAGGATCTGGACACTCAGTGGAGAAATAAGGTGTTGAACTTCTGACTCCACTGCTATCAGAAGTTGGCTTTGGAGGTTGAGCATGCTGTCTGTAAGTAGCACTTTTCGGAGTCCAACAAAACAGGTTGATTGATTCTCGCACACAACGTTCAATGTCAATTTCTAGATAGAAAAATTAAAAAAAAAAGCAAACATAGAATTTGGATTGCTCTATTTATGTAAAAACCACAATTTTTCCTAAATACATATATACAAATATGGCTAAGATGATAAAAAATTAGAAAATATGTCAGTAAAAAAGTAATCTAGATATTAATCAGCATATTTATGATTGGAATGGTAGAGGGTATTTGGTATTATTATGTAGATACATATACACATATATTTACATTTGTAAATATATACATATTTATGTGTGATTTTTGGGTGTTATTATCTATATATAGATACACATACATATAGTATATGTGTTTATATATTTCAGTGTATCAGTATTTAAACATTTAAATATATCATATCTCCTTATTAGAGAATCTTAAGTTTTATAATATTTTCACTTTCTCAAATTAAAGGTTGGGTAGAAGGAAGGCTAGAATTTGGGAGTGGGCAAACAAAAGATTCAGAAGTTAATAGACACACTTTAAGTAAAGTGTAATGAAAGTTTCATTTCCATATATTAAAGATGATATAAAATAATCAGGGCAAAATTAATTAAAATCTCAGTTCAGCATTTCTCCCCTTTTTAAAAAAGAATTTCTTGATTTAACTGCAAAAAAGTATAAGTGGGGCTTCCCTGGTGGCGCAGTCGTTGGAGAGTCCGCCTGCTGATGCAGCAGACACGGGTTCGTGCCCCGGTCTGGGAAGATCCCACATGCCGCGGAGCGGCTGGGCCCGTGAGCCATGGCCGCTGAGCCTGCGCGTCCGGAGCCTGTGCTCCGCAACGGGAGAGGTCACAGCAGTGAGAGGCCCGCATACAAAAACAAAAACAAAACGTATGTGAGGTTTCATATAGACAGAAATTAAATGTATTCAATTAAAATAATAAAATATACTTCCATAGAAGATTTCCCCTTCTTTCTCAGATTTGAAAGAAATTTAAACATCTTTGATACAGAGGTAATATACACAGGAAAGTTATTACAATGCCAAATTATTGTTTGTGTGTTTTGATAGGACTGTAACTCTTTAGGAGGTTAATATTCCTGATGGAGAGTAAGCTGTTACTCTCCAGGGAAAGTGGAGCTATCATAGAAAAGCAGTAGAAATTCAAGAAGTTTACTAGGATGAAGGAGTTTATTAGCATGGACTAGCTTTTCCATTTCTATATTTGTAATATTAGTAAATGGCAGATATCATTTCCTCTGCAAAAGTCCAAGTGTGTCAGTTCAGATAAGCAATGGAGAAAAATATATTACATCCCTTACAAAGGGGTAAGGTCCCTATTTCTCTTTTTGAAATGAAGAGCTTATATATAAGGGGAAAAGGAAATAGACATTTAAGTTGAGCCTGTGAATGGTGCATGAATCGGGCACTTATAGAATTATCTGCTTTGATAAGGTGGAAAACCCTTAGAGAACGGCAAGGAAATGGACACTTAATGAGCATCTACTGTGTGACAGGTGTCGTATACTTTCACATAGCCCATTTAATTCTTACAGTGATTATTATAGACAGGTACCGCACTCCCCTCATTTCTGCTGGAGATGAAGAAACTAAGACATAAGAAGCTAAGTGACTGAATGTGTTAAGTGTTTTTATTTTGAGTAGAATATCTGAAGTTACTAAAGGGTTATAAGGCATCTTTCATTTCCCAATTTATTTAGATTTGGGAAACAACAGCCAGCAGGTCTAGAAAGACCAGTTACTCAATTAAACATTCCTTTATCTGCTATTAGTGATGTTTGCCAACTTCACAGTTGGTTACTTCCATGGCTGCACAAACAGGTCAGATTTCATCACCCCCATATGTTATTCCTAACATAAAATCTATGAAACAGAGTTAAACGTGTTTTGAGGAATGGACCTATTTATTTGAGAAATTGTCAATACAGTGAAATGCATTCTTTTAAAAAGTTCTGTAACATTATCAACTTGATATTCCACAAAGAGAAGAATACAGACACCAATGAGAAGAAAAATAAAAGTTCAAGATATGTTCCTCTACTCCACTTAAGATGGAAGAGATGTGCTCAATTCATTTTAGAACATTTCCAATTAATATGGTTAAGATAAAAATTTGCAGCTAAAGGGAGAAAACTTCGTCACCTTAAAAAAGTTTATCCACTTCACACTGTTTAATCTCCAAAGGAAAAGAATTTTGGACCATAAATTTTGCATCTGCAGTGCTCAAATCAGTTTGACGTATCTGTCACCCATTAAAAGCTTGAAAGTCAAGTTAATGATGCAGATCAGAGGTTGTAGTTCAGTCCTTAAATCACTGGCAATGGAAAAGTCATTTGTATCTGGTTCCAGAACACCCTACCAATACCATAAAAGGTTTACAGTGAATCTTGAGAATTTACTGGTATCCACCCCGATTTGAGCTTGATTACTACTGGCAGATATCCCATTCTCCACTCACTTGACCCATGTCACCTTCTCCATCTCAAAATCCTTCCAACGTACTTTATCATAACCAAAATATTATGAAAAGTACTTTATAAACTGTACATTAAAATATGTAATTATTCTTTTAAAAATAATCTCTCATCCTAAAGCACTACTACTTTCTATCTTGCATTTTCATTTTGATACAATGCATTTGTGAAAAAGTATGTACCCTGGATATGGTTTCTCATGTTTGATTCCAAGCTCCATGAGGTACTTTGTGACTCAGAGAAATAATTTCTCTAAATCTCGTTTTCTTTATCCTCATCCATTACTATTGTTCTCTCTCATAAATATGGAACTATTTTCAAAATGATAAAATGCAACTCATGATTCATTTGGGCAAGGGTAGGTAGAAAAGACAGCTCTCCTGAAGTCCTTCATTGTCTTGCTTTAATGACTATGAAATGCTTCCTAGATACAGTGAACAGCTGTTGACATGGTACTTCTCTTTACCATCATCTAATTCCCTTTGGTTCTCCCCTACATTTGATCCCTAATTTGGGGGCTAAGATATTATTTTCTCTCTCTAGATTTACTGCATTATTTTGGTGGAACACATTTTCTAGTAATTTCTAGGAAAGGATGCACAGAAGGCAAATTATTTTGGAATTGTCTATTAATATATTTATTCTGCCTTTGACTGATAGTTAGGCTAGGCATAACATTCTAGGATTGATTTATTTTTCTACAGAGTTATATAAGGCAAGGGCTCCACTGTCTTTCTTCTGAGAAATTTGATGCAATCTTGATTTGAGATCACTTGTACGTGATTTTCCACCTATCTGTAAACTTTTAGGATCCCTGGTGTTCTGAAATTTCATAATGATACATGTAATTGTGTATCACTTAATTGATGGTCTTTTTGTAATCCTTCAGTTATAGAAAAAGTTATTGTTTGATGTCTGTAATAATTTCTTTCTCACTGTTTTTCCTCTTCTCTTTTCTTTCATTAGAAGAGTCCTGAACATCCTGTATAAATTTCCTAATAATTTTGCCTTTTCCTCTTACTTTCCATCTATATTTTGGTTCTATTCTCTGAGAGATTTCCTAAGCTTTATCATACACCTCTTTCATATAAAGCTCATTGCATTTCCACATCATTTTTAATTTCCAGTAAATCTTTTTTGTTGTTTCTTAAAAATTTCTGATTTTTCATAGTTATCATATCTTCTCATAATTGTTTTTCTGAGGATATTCCTTTATTCAGTTGGTGCTGTTCTGTGTTTTTTAGCTGGAGGCTTTCCCTAGAGGTTTGGTGATCTATGACTGCATATTTAAAAGAATAGCACTAAAAATCAGATTGGAAGTTTTGTATATGTGGGTAGGGCTTCACTATAGGTAACCTGGGGACATGGTCATTTGTTAGAGGACCCCTATAAGTAAGGTATTTCTCTTTTGGGGAACTTTCCATCTCTCCAGAGGATAATTCTTTAATCTGTCTAAACTAATCTTTGCCAGCATTCTGGGAATTGACCATGGATGAGCCTGGGGATTTTAACTATAAACATTTCCTCACTCTGGCTCTCTGCTATGCTACTGACTCTGTGTCTCAAGTCTCTATGATTCTACTACTCCAAAAATGTATCTCCAAATTTACTGTATCTATGGTCATGTTTTGTAAAATCTGCAAAAGTAAAAATATTTAAACCATAATCAGTGAAAACTGTTGTCTTTACCCCAATTTCCCCTCCATTACACTTCCTCTTGTGTTAGGCAACATAGTGGCTGTGGATATTTTGATATAACTAAGCTAAATTCGAGATATATTTATTATGGTTTAATGGGTATTCTACTGTTATTTGAAGTCACTTTGGGGTATTGACATAGATTTTTCTCCTTGACCAGAGTCTAGTCAGGCTCCTCTAAGCCTTTTCTTGACTATGCCTCAACCTTGGCCTATAAAGACTTGAACAAAACTCTTAACATAGTTTATAGCAATTCAATGTCACATCCCTCGGATTACCCTAACGCCCTATAGACGCCTGCCTGAGAAAAAACAAGGCTGCCAGAAGAATTTAGCATTTGTTCCAGTCAATACCTGAAGACAGGGTCCCTGTCTTCCAGCCTCTGTAGAAAGGTAGGAGCCTAACTTTGGTAAGTGTCAGTTAGCAAACGCAGATATATTTCACATGGACCAATGCCCCCCTTCACACTTTTTATAATTCTTCACTTCCCTGAATCTTCTAGTCTCCCCCTCCCTATTCCCTCATTCTCCCTTTAAAATGCCCAGGCACCTCTGTACAAATTGAAGTTGAGCTCAATTCATGCTGGACTATTATTGCAACAGTGTATTACTGACTAAAACCTGTGCTTACCACTTTAATGAGTGTCTGGCTTGTTTTTCTTTGACAGTATAGTAAAATTATTGCTAGCTCTAGGAATGACTTCCTGGAATACTCCCACCACCCACTATACAGGAGTAGAGGTCGTAATGCAGTGTGAATGTGTTCTAGCAGTAGAAGTTTATGGGCAGGCGAAACATAGTTGACATGTACATAGCAAAAACCAGACTGAAAAATTCTTCCAAATATTAAACATGTGAAACTGTAAGC